ATTTCAACATCTTTTAATAACGTTAACGGTGCAATTATATTACAAAGTAATATTTTAGTAACTTTCTTAAAAATAAAATCAATAAAGAGTAAAGGAATTCTGAAGTATTCTTTTCCACAAATTTCAAAACATATATTAACTTGAACTCATATGTTATCTTTGCGTTACAATGAGAGGAAAACCTCGAAAACTTCCCACAGTTGGTCCGACGGCCAGGAATTTTAACCCTTGTTCCATTTACCACTGATGATATTTTAGGTCTAAGTCGCTACCAGCAGGCATCAGAATTCGTAACAACCAGCTAGCACTGAGATACGAACATGGGTCACTTCATTGTAAGGCGTACATTCTTTCCCATGTGCCACCTCAGCCCGATAGCGAATAAACCTTTTGTAAATATATGAAATTAAAACTGATTGCGACAACCTACAGGGATGGGAGATTGAGAAACGCTGAACGAAGCCCCAAAAATTAAATCGCTCACAAGTAATAACCATTGATATTTTTTAGTTGATAAAAATATGAAAAATAATATGAAATAATTCGTAATAACAATATTCTAATTAGTATTATGTTTTTAGACGTACATAATGGTTAGAAATCTCCTCATCTTGAATGTAACTTTTTATTATACATTTTTGCCTGGTGACGCTTCTGAAATAATTAAACCTTCATTATTGTTATTTAATTGTTTGTGTTTTTAGAAATCATTATCCTGCATTGATTCTATAAATAATTATCATACTACATTAGTTAAAAGCCTTTATGCAAAATTGAATTGAATATAAATTTACAACTTCATTATGGATTGCGAAGAGATGTTCCTCATGTTTCCCCTTGTTCATTGTAAGACAACTAATGAATGATTCACGCCGAAGCAGTAAAAATAAAAAACAGTTACAAAATTGACTCTATTGTTTTTATTGATGATTTTTTTCTAATTCATTTTTCTTAATTTTTAACGTAGAAATTATTCAAAAATTTAAATGTGACTTTTTTTTAATATTTTCATTAAAAATAATCAAATATAAAGCAAACATAATCAAATTTTTTTTCTTAGAATTTCTATGCTTTTATGCTCATAAAAACAACACTATCAAAACAACGTTTCCAAAAGTAATAGCTGTTTTAATTAAAAAGATTAGTTGCTTGGAGATCAATGGTAACAATCAATTAAAAGCATAATGTGTGTGGGTTTGTGCAATTACGAGTGAGATATATTTAGTTATCATTTGAATAATTTTAAAAAAAAGTTTGATATGAGAAAGTTAGAAATGTAATGAAACCATTTTGTTAAACTATACCCATGGTATTATATGTCTCCAAGTGTTTGCAAATTGTTAATTCGCAAAACTGTGCCAAAACTTTGAAATTCTGTTTTCAAAACTTTGAAATTCCAACGAAAACTTTGAATCTTGAAAAGATTTTGAAGCAAATAATCCAGCAAATCGTTTCAGAAAAGGTTCAAAATTTAACATTGAAGATTTGTTCAAGTGATTATTATCCACTAGTAATCCGATTATCTCTAATCAGAGTAATACTTATTAATTCTTAAAAAAAAGCGTTAAGACTCGTTTTGATGTTAAAAACCTTTTAGTTATAGAAAATTATTAAAATTATTTGAATATATGATACATTTTTTGTATATATATTTGTATAAAAGAATTTAATAATCATAAAAAAAATTAACTTTTTTTCAGTTAATCGCCATGATGAGTTTTTGATAATATAAGCATAATAGTTACCTATCAATATTAAATATACAGTTTTAAAATAAAATTTAATTTTATTGAAATATATTTATTATTCTTTACCCAATTTTGGCATTCAGACTCCAACATTTTGAAAAACGAAATTTTAACCTTAGATAGTTAATCAATGCTCTCGCAATCCCCTATATTGATAATGTTTAGAAAATATAATTTAAAATAGCATGTTAGCCTGTTTTTTTTTTTCCTTTCTTCTTTTTTTCTTTTTTACTTTCTACAACTGTACGACCCGACCACTCTACTCTTGGAGCCTACTAAACATTTGTTTTACTAGCTTGTTTTATTAGCCCCACCCCCCTCAGAAAATGTATTTAAATTTCACTACCAAATGGAAGCATTTTCAAAATATTCCGTAGCCATCTTCCAAACCTTTTTACCAATTTAAGTTTACAAAAATTTAAGAAAATGTTACTGTGAAATAAATAAATCATGCACTCAAAGAGTTAATAGCGACAGATCTTTTGCATTGTGATCAATTTAATTCTTAACTGTGACCATTCCGTGAACTGTTATAAAATGCCCCATAATGGCTTGGATAATACCGAAAGTACATTGTTTCTAAATTCTTTGTTCCTTTCTCCCAATTACGAAATGATAAATGAGCATACTTGAAATTCATTTCTACTTCTGTAATCAATTATAAACGAACCATAAAATTAGAAAGGTGGGGAAGAGTCGCATTTAACATAAAAGGATACTCCTGTTTTAACTATGAAACTCCTGCCATAAACATACCTTTGAACGTCTGCTGTGTAAGCAGTTATTTTACAGTACCATTGTTGAAAGATAAGATCCATGGCGATGTCATGGATCTATATGTCATATCAGTGGAAAACAAAGATAAACACCTTTTATATTGTCATTAATTCACCCTTTTATAACTGAGTACCCAATGTTCTTCCGATGAGTGGTTTCTGTGAGGGCCTGTTTTTGATGATAGTTGCTTATTGTCAAACAATTTTCATGAAATCAAACAAAACCGATTACTTACAAAGATATTTTTGTTCGTTTCAATTTATATCATTAATCAACAAACTCTGTGTATAATTTTCTCCCGAACTGTCTCACATTTTTAGCTTGCGAAATGAATGTGAGGTCCATAGCGTCGTTTGTCAATCTTTGAATACCAAATGAAAAACACTGATTAGCATATACTTTTTTGTTGGGCACTTGAAAATAAAAGTTAATATTCCACTTTTGGTCCTTTGAATATAAACACAGGGATGAATTAATACTTTCCGGATAACGAAAATAAAAATTTCATTCGTCACATTTTAAACATCCTAAGTATAAATGGATTATCTTTTTTTTTTTAAATTAGCCCAGAAAAAAATACCATTTGTTACCTTTTAAACTTCAAATGCACTTTTTTTGAAATTGGGACAGAAAAATTAAACGCCATTTATCACTGTTTTAACATCAAATGTTTAAGGGGGAACAAGTCATTGGTAAAAAAATGATTTTTTTAATGAATTTGCACCGATTGTGATAAATAATTTATCTTATTGTACATTTTATCATTATGCAATTACAAAAGTAAAACATTAGAGCTTATATAATACTATATTTATGATTTATTTTTAAATTATCCATAAATTGCTGTATTCAAAAGTTGAAACAATCCTCCAAATTTGATTCCGTTTTGATTGTTTTTAACAACATGAATTTAGTTTTCGTAACACATAGGAAAAAATAATTTTTTTCACAAAAGGGCGGAATTTTAAAAAAAATTCAAAAAATTACAAAAAAGTTACATTTACACGGATTACTCAAAACCAGTCTATCCAATAAAAAATTCCTACTTGCAACGCAAATTATATTTATTGCAAACATTAATCAAAGTTTGAAGTATAACAGCTAAATAAGTTACAATTTTAACTAATTTTATTGAAAATACCATTAATTCTTTTTCTTACATAATTTAAGCAAATTATTTCAATAAAATATTTGAAATAATAGAACGTTCCTAAAATGGTTTGATAGGAGTGAGCACACATGTTCATTTATTCATACATGTCACACTCGTCCCGCGTCACACAACCGTGTCGTTGTATTATTCTGTGACTTTTACATTTTCACGAAAAGCAGATCAATATCTTGATAAAATAATCATAAGAGGATTATCTATCAAATTATGCTATATTTTTTTTTTCATTCTTTGAAAATAATTTTACTGTGTTGTTCACCCTTGAAGAATTACCATTTTTCGAAATAAGCTCAAAAAAAAAAAGGAAGCGTAATTTGTTACCCTTTAAATTCCAATTAATCTTGTCCAGATAGATGAATAAAATTTAAATAATTATTTTTCATCGCCTTTCTATTTTTACACATAAAATTGAAACTGTTGCCACTCACCATATATTTCTCGATATATAAGTACGTGTACTATTTGTATATATGTTACGATGAAACACCGAAATCTGGAGAATGTCGACGTTCACCGGTGAATGTCAACATTCACGTAGTCGCTTGATTTATGTCCGAAATATTTGCTAAATACCCTTATTTCTGACTCTCACCGGTGAATGTCAACAATCACATAGTCGCTTTGGTGAATGTCCGAAATATTTGTTATATCTAATTTTATATTAATTTATTCGTTAATATTATTATATTTATTTGATATATTTATATTTATTCTATATTTTAATACTTACTGACGATAGATTAGGAGAAACATCAGTGTTTGGAGTATCGGACAAATATATACCGGGCAATGGCACTTGACCTTAAAAAACATCAGTATAGGGTATACCGGGCAAATGTATACCGTGCAGTGGCACGTAACCTTAAAAAAACATCAGTGTAGGGTTTACCGGNCCCAGATCGTAATTTTGACCTGAATCAGAGAACGATCGATCTCCAATCCAGTACCCCCAGAGGTTTTGATTTCTTATGGGAACATGGAGGACTTTTGCGACTCGACAGATTTAACGTGCATCAGTCACTTTACTACACGGGGAGTCTTCGGCCGACTGGGTTCGAATCCACGAACTCTCGGACATAGGCCCAGTGCCCTACCGACCAGGTTATCCCGGCCTAAGATAGATGAATAAAATTTAAATAATTATTTTTTATCACCCCTTTGTTTTTACACATAAAATTGAAACTGTTGCCCTTCGCCATATATTTTCTCGATATAAGAGTGCGTGTACTATTTGTATATATAAAACTGAAAGTGTTTCTGATGAAATAAACTGTGACTTCAAATAATGTGTTTTTTTTTTGCAGAGTGTTTCAGTTAGTGTGTCTGTGCTGACTTTAACCTTCATTTCCATTGATCGATGGTACGCCATTTGTCACCCCCTGAGCTTTAAAAGCACAGCAGCACGTGCCAAAACACACATCTTCCTCATCTGGTTAGTCTCATTCCTGGTGGCGTCTCCAGAAGCCATAGTTCTGGATACAAAAAGACATCCAATACCTTTGGAGACAATATATTTGACAGACTGCACATACACATGGAGTGAGAGCAGTACCAGAATATATCAGCTCTTTCTGTTGCTGTTCTTGTATGTTGCACCATTCGTGCTGATGATTGTAGCCTACTATCAGATTGCCAAAGTGCTCTGGAACAAGAACATACCGGGATCATCGGAAATGAATCATCATCCTACTCATACAAGTAAATCCAAGCATTGTTTATACTGTATTAAATTGCAGTAATATAGTGGAGGGTTAATAGTATTAAGAAACGTGCTTAGTGCACAAAATGGAACATCTAAATGAATTTCGATCTAATAATAGAATCTTCGTGCATTAACACTCAATCTTAATGGTCTGAGGGTCTTACCTTAAACTTGCAAACAATCTTTATCCTGCGAAATCAAACACAAAAACTGACTATTTTTTCTGAATAAACATGCCTTTTTTCAAATTCAGATTTTCGACCCTCAAAAATACGGGAGGGAAGGGCTGTAAGCTGGTAAATGTGATTCAAATTCTTAAGAGTTTAGTCAGGAAATAGTTGACCCCTAATTTCTATTTTCTTATTTGAGCGTATTTCACCAAATCTGATGAACTACTAAAGCAAATTAGAAGAAAAATATAGATAAATAATAAAAACTATATTAGTGAATGATAATTCTATGCAAAAAAATTGTATTTTATAAATATTTCTTATTTCTTATTATTCAATTTAATAAAAAGTTTGTATATTAAGGCACATTATATAACATAAGGAATAATATATAATATAATATATAATATAAATATGTAAAGTATAATAGATAATAAAAATTGTTACATCCTTCAAATTTATATAATCTTAAATGGATAAATCCATAATTTGAACGGAATCGGTTGTATTGTTTCTCAGGAAATAAAAATTTTTCAAAAAATATTCCTAAAAGCTTTAAAGCTCAAAAATTATTCAATCGATTCCTTTATATATAATTACGTTTATTCTATAACTACGTAACATACACTGAAATAAAAATTATTATACCTTACAATTCTGACTTCACATTATTAAATTTCATATTATTAAATTTATTAAATTTCATATTATTAAATTTATTAAATTTCACAGTAAATTATTAGTCACATTATTAAATTTCATAGTAAANTATAATTACGTTTATTCTATAACTACGTAACATACACTGAAATAAAAATTATTATACCTTACAATTCTGACTTCACATTATTAAATTTCATATTATTAAATTTATTAAATTTCATATTATTAAATTTATTAAATTTAATATTATTAAATTTATTAAATTTCATAGTAAATTATTAGTCACATGATTAAATTTCATAGTAAAAAATAATAAATATAATTATAAAAATTCCTTTTTTGCATCTTCGGATAAATGTGTTTCATAATTGTGTACGCTATTTTCAGGGTGGTGTTAGTAGTTCTAAACATAATCCATAAAAGAAAATAGTACTAAATAGTCTAAAAATAACACTGTTCTCACTTAATTATTGAGTAATATTTTTCTGTTTGCTACTACCTCCAATACCATATTTTGTGGGTCATAACAAATCCGTTGAGAGAAAGTGACTAAACTTAAAATATTGCCTGCGAAAATTAATTATGAATGAATATTTATTATTCAAAGAAAAATTAAATAAGTTTAAAATACACTGTTTCATTTCATGTGCAATAATCTCAAATAATTCTTTTTTCGTTCCAGCTATTTCCAAACACAAGGGTAAGAATGGTACCACAGTACGATTAATTACAGTGAATCCAAGTTGCGAGGGACAGATCCAATCTCGCCGAAAAGCTGCAAAGATGCTAATAGCAGTCGTTGTTATATTTGGATTATGTTATCTTCCTGTGCATTTGATTAACGCTTTAAGGTAAAAACAAAATGCTTCATGTGTTTCAAAATACTTCAAAAATATTTTATTTTACCTTTTATATTATTAAATTCGTGAGCTATATTATAAGATTCGTGAGCTACGTCAATTATTTCTTGGCATATATTATAAATTCCGTGAACTACATCATAAACTTTGTGAAACAATCATAGATTTTAGGAGCAATATTATGAATCTCATGAGCAACATCCTGGCTTATAATATGAAAGCGGTGATGAGCTATTTTATGAATTTCATAAACGTTACTGTAAGTTTCATTGTGTGTATCATAATTGTCATGAGATATATTATAAAGTTCATAAGCTGTACTGAAAATCCCATGGCTTATATCAGGACACCCGAGAGCTATATTACCAACTTTTATCGTCATATTTAATGACTTATAAAATCATAAGCTATATTAGGAATTCTCTAAGTTGTAATGAAATTGTTCATGAGGTAAATTATTGGTTCTGCATTAGTGTCGGAAAAGTTTTTCACTTATAGTTTTTGTAACGAGAATTTTTCACGGGTACAATTCATCGCACGCATAAGTAGCTGAATTACTTATATTGAAAATAATTTCATGAAAATAAGTTTCCATGATGCTAAGTCATGCTAGATACTTTATATCTTATAGTTATCATAGAGTAGAGAGGAACAGGCATAACGTCTCGCAGTGCGGTTATATCCCCATTCTTTGCCATGGACATAGCCATATTGAGTTATCTCGAGGGCAAGGTCAAACCAGAGAGAGGGTCAGAAAAAAAAAGAGATGGAGAGTTATTTTTAAGAGCAGCGATACAGTTACAGAGTTAATATGATGTCATGCTCCGCATTCAGAAAACTCTGACAGTTAATTCGTATTTAAATGTTGCTTTTATTGCCTGATTAAATGCAATAAATAATACCATGAATATTTTAATACTTGTTCAACAATGCTTCTTCCACTATTTACTTTGATTCATTATAATGCTCTTGATGCAAAGAGTATTATAATGAAAGAAATTAGAGACATAGTTTTAATAAATTTGCTCATTTTTTAAGAAATGCAGTTCTTTGCATTCGGAATTTTTTATTGGTTCTTACTATTTGTCTTTACACTTTTAGAAAATGTTTATTATTATGTAATTTCAACAAATTATTTAAGGAAAGGATTTTTTCTATCTATGCAAATATTCAAATCAAAATAAAGCGTTTAAAACATGCAAATTCAAAATATGTAACCAAAAATATTAAGTTTATTCATTTATGATTTTTAAATTTTAGGGAAACTCTGAAAAAATCCAATCTCACAAAGTATCAGTTATTCGAACTCCAACTAAAGAATTTGTCTTTTGTTCAAAGATATTATGCATAATAGAATTGCATAATTTTCTTTTCTTTTCCAATATTTAGTTGAAAAAATTAATATTTATAATCCTGAAATTCTTGACTTAAATTTCAGAAAAACATGAAAATGAAAGACCATAAGAAACACATTTTGCTTAGTTAATAAATGATCCAACTTTAAAATTTTTTATTTTATAACTAATCTAATATTTTTTCTCTATTTTTTTTCTCAAAAACTCTCATTCTTGCGTTTGATAAATGCACTTAATTAATTTTAATTTACTTTCTCGCAAAGATTTGATGCCAAACTTTATTTTAAATATGAAGCAAAATTTCAATTTAATCCCAGTTATCCATGATGTTTTAAACAAAACTTGTTAGATGAAAGATAATAAGTTTATTAAATGAGTTTCATATTTTATTTAAACAAAAATTCGTGTCACTTTGAAGTTACCTTGATAGCTCCTATCAAGAATCCTTATTCAATGATATTTTCATTTTTCGGTATTTGTATTAGTTAATTATTATAAACTGAAAAATTTAGAAATAAAAATATTCATTAATTAAATTCTTCATTAGCTCAGTTATGTATCGACTCTCTGGTGATAAAAAAAAAGTGACTGTTTTCTTCGCTGACATATAAAGGTACAGTTATTTTCAAGTAGAAAAAAATGTTTATCGCATGTCTTTCTGCGATAATTAACTGACAATCGAATTAAGAAACATTGTAAAGATAATTTGTTATCTTATGAATATTAAAATTGAAATTATGAGACAATACATTTTATTATTTATCCTTTTACTCATGTCAATACTTCACTTACATTTGACACGAAAGAAATTTATTCAGGGAATATTTTTAATATATATTCTTTATTACGCTATGAATGCATGAAGGACAATCTCTCCTGTAAAATATTTATCTACTAGCATTTCAACTAGAGTTGAACACTGATTCGATTATTTGAATCACAAACTTGAAGCTGATTCAAATCAGAAGCAGTTATTTGAATAGCTAATTTGAATCTGTCGCAAGTTAGTGGTACGTATCCCCTATTCAGTGATTCAAATCAAAGTGAACTAATTCGATTATTAGCAATCACTTTAATTACTCGCATTCCCCAACGAATCATTGAAGTGATTCGACGACTCCGACAGCTTCAAAGCTTTCCGCTCACTTGAGACGTTGTGTTGATTCCTCTTCATCTATATCATAATTACTGATACACTTATTGCTTATAGCGAAATCTAACTATTGAATTATGAATCTTCAAATTAACTCTATTGCATTATTAAATTTTTTTATTTTGATATTACACCGTTGATATCGATATCAAAAATCATTGCTTTAATGATTTAAATTATTGAAACCACCTAATTTCAGAAATTGTTCTATCTATTAAACTGTATTTTATTTGTTTGAAAAAGTATTACACAGCTTTGAATGTAAGGAGTTTTCAAATCATTTAAATTAAATTATAATCATATAGGATTTCAGAAATAGTAGTAGTTTTTGAGTTTGTAGTAGTAGTAGTTCAGTAGTTTTTGAGTGTCATTCAAATTTTATTATATTTTTAAAAACGAAAGTTTTTGAATATTTATGGTATTGTAACTACGCATAGCTCACTTCACCCTACCATGGCCAAACAATTAATTTATGATGCATTGTATAACCATAAGCACTGGTTGAAGCTGTGTGCAACTTAATTTACATGGTGGACATATGATGTGGTCAGTGACTCTGGTATTCATAATATTAACACTGTAAAAATAGAAATTTTTCAAAAACCAATAATTAAATATATGCCAGTGGTTACAGATATACACCGGATCTTTTATCTAAAATGCAATAAATTGTCTTTCAATTATTTTCTAAGTTGAAAATTGAATTTTTGACTGCAATTATAACCAAAGATCCGCTTTAATAACAAATTTAAATACACAACATAAGGCTGGAATGTACTCAGTATCGCTTTTCTCCTCTTTCTGAGAACAAAATTTTCTTCATAGAAAATCAAGTTATAAACCAGAGTAAAATTATATAAGAATTAAATCATAAAATGCTAATTATTTACTTTGCTTCATTTAATCAACAAAATTTTTAGAAATTCACATTATTTGATTTGCACAATTCAATCTAAAACTAACTCATACAGTTCTAGTTGTATTGTTATTCAAGTTAAAAAAGTCGCAAAAGGTGAAATATTTAGTTTGCACTTTTCAAGCAACTATATTCATAAAGGATTAATTATTTTGTTTGCACAATTCTATTAAATTAGGTATAGCAAATAATTTACTTAGTTTTTCATATTTATAAGTGGAGGGGTTAAATCAACAATTAAGTTTTTTCCATCGAAAAATCTAAGCATTCATTAAATAACACTTCAAATAAAGGAGCGAGGATAGTAACTCCTATGTAAAGAAAATTCGTTATAATAAGAAACATCCAAAATGTAAAAATATGCAAGAAAAGAGAAGTTAATTTCTGATGTAATTACTTTTAGATTACAGCTTTCCCTACCAATCCTATAGTAATTTACGAAAAGCTAGCTTGATTTACTTCAGTATTCATGATTTTAGGCAAGATGCTAACAGCTTTTCCATCTTGCCATGTGATATCTGGCATGACTTATTGACCAGTGTGTAATTTCTATCTTCCTACGTTCTACATCCGCATGAATGGGGGAGGTTCCTCTGAGAACAAGATTCCACTCGTAGAATAACCATTGTAGATTTCCTCTCTCGAGCGAAATCAAAAGAAACGTTAGAATGTAAAAAGGTAAAAACCGTAACTTTTTCGTAATCTTAGAACTCATTCCAATGTTGGTTGCCATAGAGCCTGACAAGAGGGAAAAGTTGTTGGTAACTGACCTTACTTTTAGTTTTGTCGGCATTACTTTAAGTTTACTTACTATAAGTTCTTTAGAATTTTTTTTCTATTGATGGTCCTTTAGATAGACCAGATCGAACGTCCTTACCCAGGAAATAGTCTAAGAGTTGATTGTCAATGCTGCGGTTGATGAGGAAACAATAATTATCTAATAAACAAAAACCATATATTCCAAAGTAGCCTGAAAATACCGAAATAACTGCTTAACATTTTCTGGTACACACAGACAGTACTTTACTTGTAACAGCAAAGGATTCAAATCACGCAGCATATAAAAGGGTCTGGAAGCATGGTAGTATATTTCAAAAGTAGACGCGAGTGAATATTTCTCTCTTTCTTTCTTTAATAGTGTTAAATCTAAGAACGTTCATTTTAACTCAAAAATATAAAAATTTTTTAGTAGAAGTGGTTCCATAAGTTAAACTAACAATTTGGATTGTTATTAAATTTCACAATTGAGAGTTTTGATACTGTTTCCAGATACATTCCTCTTCCAAATTTAGTTCCATTCATAGGTAGGGCCAACTGATTCTCCTATCATATGCAGCCGACAAAAAAAAACTCAAATAATCTTCAACAACTGTTGAATTCATACTTATAACTGTTGAATTCATACTTGTAACTGTTGAATTCATAATTCAACTACTTGTTGAATTCATCTGCTATAACATAAAAATAATAGATGGTCAGCACACTATTAGATGGCTACTGAGTACATTTCTATAAATTTAAGTCACTAATTGCTATCTTTTGTTTACCTATTATGTTTTGTTTGTACCTATAGATACACAGTTGGACTCCCACAAAATCCAGTTACCACAGCTGCTTCTCTATTATCGCATTGGCTATGCTACGCAAATAGCTCCATCAAACCTATCATCTTTCTATTGTCGAATCCATCCACTGAAGAATTTCAGATGTGATCAAAGATAATAGGTGATCAACTCAGTGTTTGATGGTGTCCTAAATGTTTTGGTTACTGAGTACATTCCAGAAACATAACTCACTAATTAATATTACCGTTTATTACAAATAGATAATTACTTATCCTATAGGTATACAGTTGGACTTCCACAAAATCCAGTTACCACAGTAGCGTCTCTGTTATCTCATTGGCTGTGCTACGCAAATAGCTCCATCAACCCAATAATCTATAACTTCATGAATGGTAAGCAATTTATTCAAAATTATTTGTTTAATTGTTCCAGTATGAAACTGTACTGTTATTTTGATTTTAAAAAAATTGTATCCATGACGACGTATGGGCTACGATGAGACTTTCTTGTATAGTGTAAAAAATTTCCATTGATTATATTTCCTAAACATTTGATCAAATGTTTTTAATAATTTTACTCAAATCCACTTTTTAATGACTTTTTTGTGGGTTCATTAATTTAAAACTATAATTAATCATACCATTTGTAATGCACTCTATTTAGGAAATGCATATTGATTTTTTCGTGGTCTGTTCAGTCACTTGAGCATGAGTTGTACTAAAGCATCTATTTAGTAGATCATAATCATAAATGGTTTGATAACCCAGGGTGGTTCATAGTCTTATCCATAATTGTTTTCCATCTAAACATGGTCTTGAGGGGTACATCGCTACCAATTAACTAATGTGATAGCCTTGTAGATTGTCTCAACACAGTCAATGTACCTGATCTTCCTGTTGAACATTTCCCTAATGATCTAGCATTAAGAATTGTAAAAAGGGTGCTTTCGGTTGGCACGCAGACCACATGACCAGCTGATATCATTCTATGTTGTTTTACGAACTTTAACATGTCATTCTTTTCTTAAAAATATTGCAAATATTGAAGATTTAGTGCTTTTCATCACAAGCCATTATCTCCTGGTACATTAAAAATGTTTAGTACCTTTCTTTAAAAAATTGCTAAAAGACATTCATCTTTTACGATCATGGTAATAGTTGTTTCCAATTATTTATGCTTCCAGTTAAATTAGTTAGTTAGTTAGTTACGGCAATATAAATAGCACTACGCTAGTAGAAATGCAGTTTTCGATATACGAATGAAAGATTGAGTTCTCTTTTATTTAATGATTAAGTTTCCATAAAATTAACAAAGAAACACCTGCTAAACGTACGAATTCATGACAAAATATTTCCGTGCATTTCACGCCAGTTTTTTTTAATCGTTTCGATTGTATAAAATAATTCAACTATTTCCATACAAACACTTTCAAAGACCCGTATTTGAAAGACTTTCGAATTTGAAACTTCAATTTGGAGAGATCTAAGTGATCCTTGGACCCATTTTACCCATCGTCAAAATGGGTGTTGTTTTGGGTTTGATGGCGTGTGCACCTTATTGGACGTTATCACACTTTTCAACTGTGTTAAGAGTAATTGTCAACAGTGTGCATGCGTCGCCATTGCATGCGTTGCTATCGCTGCTGTTTGATAATTTTTTTAGAATTCTTTTTTACGCTTATAATTTTGTTATGCATTAAGTTGGTGAGTTTATTTTTGAGATATGGGACCAGAGAGATCCCATAAATACTTCTTGAGTTGTGAATAAAAGATAATTTCATCATTTGAACGATATTTTTGTTTTTATTGTTTTAATTAAGAAACAGAAATTCTAACCTGCAGTTCAAACTGGATCCTATTACAGTTTAACTGGAACTAGACAACAGCCATTTTGCCGATGGATAACCAGTCATCGCCCTTCGACAATCACAATTTTTAAAATTTTGTTTTAATTTTTTTTTATTTATTGTTATAGTTACATTTCACATGGTAGTAATAGTAATGAATAATAATAGTAATGAAACGTTTTTATTAATGCAAAAAAGCGTGTCTTAAAACTGTTTATTTTTTTTTATTCATTTTTTAAAAAACAAAATAGAGGAACGATAATAAATGTTGCATAAATTTACAACATAAATCCGGCAATTTATTCTCTGTGTTTATATTCATTTCCCCTTTTTGTTTTCAGGAAAATTCCGGAAAGAGTTTAAGAACTTTTTGTGCTGTTATTGCTGCAGAAACTCTTACAGAGGATGGAGAGGAGAACGCATGACTGGAGCTAAATACAGATTTTCCACGTCTGTGACGCAAATGGAAAATATAAATCTGAATGCCATTGATAAATCATGACGTTTACCTAATTTTTTTCGAAAATCGAATTTATCCACATGCAGGAATAGGCGTACTCCCTCACCGGCAGTGATCAAACCTGCTGAAACGGTGATTAATAGGTTGCCCTGATGAGCTGATATTTTTTGGCATTTATTTTCCTGTTCCTTAAACTTTTAAGAGCAAGTTTAATAACAGAAAAATAAAAGCATTTATCAATTAGAGTTTGCGAGAAGTTTTATTTTTACCCGGCACAACTAGTCAGGTGGAAAAAACTAATGTGTCTATAAATATGTAAAAGCTTTTAAAGTTTATGAGACTTTTTAAATAAAAAAAGGAAAAAATTATTGGAACTTAATATCAGTGACTGATATTCAATTTAACTTGTGTCATATATTATTGAAATTTAAATAAAAATGATTAGTTGCATATGGCGAGCCATGCATTAAGCTGAAATAATTTATAAATATAATTTTAATTATGAATGGATAGTTTATAAATAAAATATGCATAATTTATTCCTGATATACATATATGTTTTTGTTTTATACATTATTACAATATTTACAATAAAAATACAATTTTTAATTTCTAATAAAATGTACTTTTGCTGCAGATGTTTCAAAGAAATTTTAGATTTGATAATGCGTCGTTATATATATAAATCAAGCAGAATGTTTATATGTGTGTGTGCATGTATTTGATACAAATTCGTTATTCCGGACCCATCCGTTGTTGTGTATATGTTGAAAGATACTAATTGTCTACTTTAAGACTCTCTCCGATGACCAATTTGCGCATTACATCCCAATGAAGGAATTTTCCATAGAATTCGATGTATATTTTGTGACATAAATGATTTGCTAGCTTGCTGCTCTAATCAAAAATTAGTTTTATCGAACGTTCTTATGAATTCTTTATCTTCGGTTTCCTACGTTAAGTAACCACAAGTAAAATCAACGTTAATAATTTTGCAATTTATGGAAATGACGTCAGCGAATTCATAGCTCAAAAGGTATGTATCGATATAAGAATCACGTGTTTCTTATATTGATACTCTTTTTAATCGTGTTTCTATAAATTCAATTAGTGGCAACTCAGCAAGAACCAATGAAATAAAATTGAAGTTATCTTTTAAGCCATAAAAACAATACCGTAAAATCTAAATATCACATTTATAATTATAATATATGGGTAAAATCCTAGAATAGCACTCCTTTTGGCTACTTTTTGAAATCTCGCTAATTTGGTGATTATTACTTGGATCACTGTTGGTGTTTTATTATTAAAAAAAATTTAAATTATTGCATATTAAAATATTTCCAATAAAATAAAGTAAAAATTGGTTGCAACATACCTCCGCGAAATATCTTCGAGAAACTCAGTTTAGCGAGATTTCAAAAAGTGCTTGGCGAGATTTAAAAATATCGCCACAGGGTGGGCTACTCTAGGATTCACCTACTATATGTATAGTTAATCATTCTTTTAATGAGTTGAAGTAACTCAGATTATGGTTAATTTTATAGTATAAAGTCGCACCGGAGTATACAATAAATAATAAAAAAATAAAGGTTATACATTAGGTGGTTCAATGTGATACTTGGTGATACTTGGGTACTTATCCGTTTCGGAAGGCGGTAAAACTTTATTTCCACAGTAGTTTACATTACGCATCTTTAATATTATCTCATTGCCACAAAATTCAGAATGACAATACCAGAATTATTTAATTCCTGATTTAACTAAGCATTACTGCGTCAATAATAGTTTTAGAGAATTTTTTACGGCATTCAAAATAAGTACCGATATTAGTTCGTTCGCCAAAAATTATTATAAAAATATTCGTGTCATTGGTTATTATTTTTGAAAATTACGATTGACTAATTTTAGTTGTTGTTGTTGTCGTCGGACTTTAAGACAGAGGGGTTGTTTAAAAGCTAAATTAATGGAGAAAAGATGCTTCCTCATTTAGAAAAATCTTAAAAAATCGCTTTATTGTTATTGACTCTAATGATGCTTAATTTTAGTAATGGGTATACTATTACTATTATGTTAATTGGTGTTTTCTAATAAATATTAAATATACTAATGTAGGTACCCAGATACCTCTGAGAAAATAGGTTTTTACTGCCCACCGAAACGGATTTGTGCAGGAGAAAATTGGCGATTATCGTAATTTTTAATTATCAGGAGTTGACCACAAGCAATAGTATTAAGCCAAATGATACAGAATATAATTATTTTTATTTTGAAGGGCTGAACTCTCCTTGAAACACGATTAGTTTAATCTAATAACGTAAAGCCACCGGGAAGAGCAACAAATACTAAAATTTAAAAAAATGGAATTGTTTTAACTTAATTAATTGTGTCAGTATGTATGTCATTCAGTTTTGATTTTGTAGTGTTGATCAATACTTATTTATTAGATGATTTATTTTTCTTCTTTTCTTCACCCCGTAATAAGAACGGGTATTAAGTTAGTCTATATAAAGAAAATAGAATGTTTTTATGTATATGTGTCTGTATGTATATGTGTATGTATGTATATGTGTATGTATCTACATGTGTATGTATGTATATGTGTATATATGTATATGTGTATGTATGTATATGTGTGCATGCATGTACCCTATGCAAATCCACAATTCTGAATCTATCTGCAACAAATTTGATGTACATATGTTCGAAAACACGTCGGACTCAATTGCCTACATTAAAACTTCACAGAAAACCGAAAGACCAATACTAAAAACCAATTTATGAGGAAAATTGAAAATTGAGGTTAATTTTTACAATCATGGTGAAAAAATACGTATAATATGTTTATTTATGTAAATGTAAATATGTAAAGTGAAGTATTTTAGCGACTTAAACTCTTATTTTTTAAAAATGTTACGAGTTGGAAAGATAATAGAAAAGGACTACAAATAACAAAAAATAAATATTTTGAAGTACCAGTTCATCGAGATAATTTACAGCAGGGCTAAAATATATTGCAGTATTATGATATTATTTCTAAAAAAATGATTAATGCCATTCGATTAGTGCTACTGGTTAGTATAGTCTCAGGAGGCATTAAAAAATTACCTAACTATTATTGACACGAATCATATTAGTTAGTTCATGTGGTGATAAATGCATACAGAACTAACATTTTGTTAATTCAATTTTGGAAGCTAGTAAAAATTGTCATGCCTTTTCAATATGGCTTTCCGAAATGAAGTAGTACCATGATTATTTTCATGAATTACAAGTACGGCTTGGTAATAGTTTACAATTAGCGTGTTATTATATTTGGTGATTTGAAAATAGACATACATATGAAAATGTATCAATAACTAATCACGTAGCGGTAAACAAAAGTTGTGGTTACCCGAAGGTGACATCTTTAAAAGCAAGAGCCGCGATGGCTGAGGGGATAGAGCGTTCGCCTTCCAATGAAATGAACCGGGTTCGAATCCCACCGACTGCTGGTCGATACGAATTCCTCATCCGGTTTGCGCCGACCACAGAGCTGACTTGAAATATCCTCAGTGGTAGACGGATCATGGGTTAGAGTCCCTTTGCAGGCAGGCGAACCGTGGGAGGCTTTCCTGTTTTTTCTTTCCATGTAACGCAAATACGAGTTAGTTCCATTAAAAAGTTCTCCAAGAGGACAAATTTCTCCCAATACTTGATCCAGGAGTTTCCATGTCTTCTGGATCGGGTTCAAAATTACAAGTTTAAGGAGTTGAACATTAGTAGTCGAAAACCCAAAAAACTGGGTCGGCTGTTCAGCGAAGATTATAAAATAAAGTTAAATCATTAAAAGCAAAGAATATCACGGTAACAAAAAAACGGATTTTCAACAAAATTGAACAAAAATTATCATAAAACCAAAGGGCCCTCATTTTGACTCATTAATCTTTACTAAATTTTTTTACTTTCTTAAAATGACCGTTATTTAAAATGGCCGTAAAAAAAACTTATTACAACTTGTACTTATATTAGTATATTAGGTAGTTATTACCACAACTTATTTCCAAAATTAAGCATCTATGGCGTGAATTGGCAATTTTTTAAGCTTCCCTGAAACTAAATAGTTCTGTGAAATCTTGACTCTTACGACAGTACTGTAAAACAAAAATATTAAATAACATAACAAAAATATTAAAACTACGCACTAAAATGCCAAAAAAAGCTAAATCGACAATTTATATTTAAGCATAAACCGTTACCTGCATTAATTAATTAACTTTATAAAACGAAAAATTGAAAAACACTATGAAATATTGTAGATGTTTTTAAATTATCTATCGATTACAAATTTCTAATTAACTTTGTTCTTTTGACTTACTAATCTGTATTCTTTAGGACGTAAGAGGTACTGTGGTAATAGGCTTTTTACATCTGCCCTGCAAGCCATGAACTGAATAAGTATAGAATTGCGCGGTAAATTTTGAATATCATGAGTTAGCGCCTACCAACGACACTATGCCAGATGATACTGAAAACAGTTAAACGTTATTTCGATGGCATGAAATTCTAAAAACATTTTTTCCTTATTCTCACAACGTAAAGTCACCAGAAAGGGCAATAAATAATAATATATGAAAAATATAAGAGCTATTTTATCTTCATTATTTGTGTTGGTATATGTCTCTTAGTTTTTTGCATGATTTAATAGTATTGATAAATGCCAATTTATTGATGATTTATTTTTTTCAACCCGTATGAAGAACGGGTATTCAGCTAGTTCGTACATTAAATACATTCTCTTAAAATGCAGTACAATAAATGTGGTAAACGTCATGATTCGAATAAATGCTAATTTATGGACACACAATAAACGATTTTTTGCTTTAATTATTTTCTTTGAACATAACGTAAGAATATGTACTTCTTAAATAAACGTAACTAGTAATATAGTTTTATTACTATACTTTTATCTCATTCAGGCAGATAAACAACCAAAGTCTGTACAATGTTTTCCCATCATCCCATAATATATAAATATATTGTTGATATATAAGTATATTTTTGTGATTTTAACAAACATAAATAATTTCCAAAGATTGTGTCACCCATGATGTCATTTGCACGCATACCTGAAAAAAATACTTAATAACACATGATTTTATGTAAAATGGCAAAATGTATTTTACACGAAACTATTATTGATGTGAATATTGTATAAAAATGTATTTCCAATAAAATTTTGTTTTGTAAAACAAGGATTCTCTTGAAACTTCATAAACTTAAGTAGAAACACCACTATATTTT